AAACCACTTCATGGTGGACCACACTGCAGCAGGTTGTGCATCGCTGTGCCCTGGGTGAACAGTTTGCTGATTTTCAGGAAGCTCGTAAACACCATGATGAGCAGCAACAGCTTCACAAGGCCCTCATAGACCGAGTGCATGACAGGCATGCCCTGCCCACACCCAGGACATATGATTCCATTGTCGTGCGCTGCATCTGTGATCACTTCAAGCGGCTTGCAGATTCCAGTTCTTTCTTCTCCTTGCCCGCTACCACGCAGGTTCAGGGTGACGGCTATCAGCTGGTCCCGTTGCAGCCAGGCGCAGCACCTGAGCAGTTGAACACAGACATGGACCTTCCCGGTGCAGATGTAGAAGTTGTAGGAGAAGTGGCAGCCGAAGATCCCTTGCCTAGACAGGACGTGGTGGTTTTTCGTATCTTGTACGGGTCCCCCGAAAAACTCAAGCTTGCGCCGGGCCCCATAGCCATGAAGCAGTTGTTTGCCCCGGGCGACACTGTAGTGACAGTGCACAAGGTCATACATGACAGTGATCAAGGGCCTATGATTGATGTGAGTGCCACAGCGTCACCCCAGCTTTTGAGGAATCTGGAACAATGCCCGTTGCCAACCCTGCGTACTGATCTTCAGGTTTGGAAGCTGTCCCCGAATGTTTCATACACTTTGCCCTGCATAGGCTTTCCCAGCTCAGATGTCTGTCAGCTTGTCACAACTTTGTTGGATGCGAAAGGAATTCCAGATGAACCGTATGTGCTTGCTTTGCCTGGCACAGACGGTTTGTGCCAACAGCTAGAAAAGCAAGAGTATCTCCAGCTGGCGCCGGCACGTCCTGATAGCAGCTCTTTGTTGGTGCGGTTGACAAGACAAGGCATGGCCACACTTCGCATTGTGAGTGCATTGACAGATCCCCGCCCCGTGTGTAGCCGGTCGACCAAAGCCTTGGGTGATTGTGATACTCTCGAGCTTCTTTTGGCCCTGGAAGGGGATGGTTGGACATGGGAGGCGATGCCTTCTAGCAAGAGAATGAAGCAAGCATTGTGCTACAGTCCAGGTGACCCCAAGGTCTGGTACTCTTTGTCACACTTCGTTTCCAAATCATATTTGCGATGCCTGCTCGAAGCTGATGCTATATGCGCTGCAGGTGTCATCGATGCAATTCCCCATTGGGTGTCACAGCCTGCCAAAGTCTACCCTGCAATCCTCCGGGGTGAGGGCTATGAGCCTGCATGTGAACCACTGCCTGCTTTGGAACAAGGTGATGTAGATGAATGTGGTGCGCTTGCAGATGCTTCAGCTGATGCCGGGCAGAGAAGGCAGCAGCAAGTTCATGATGCAGTTCAAGACATGGATGTTGACGCCATGGAATTGGATGATGATGAACTGAACCGTGAACTAGCCAGACTGTTCGAAGAGCAAGCTGATGATGACGATGAAGATGCAGGTGATGACGATGACGCCGTGCACGAGGCGGGGCTGCCGCGGGATGCTCGTGATGAGCCACCTGCGCCTGCTGCGCCCGCAGCGGCTGCATTTGTTGCACCCGCAGCGCCTGTGCCGCCTGTGCCCACTGCGCACCGCAGACGCAGGCAAAGTCAGGATGCTCTTGATGCCGACAATGTCGATGGGTCGGGCGATCCCGCGCTGGATAAACCTTCGCCGTGGGGATGCTTTAGAATCACGCCCAAGCAACCGGGGCCGACTCGGTTGCACGGAGGGTTTGAAGCCCGATGCCCGTTTCATCGGAAGAATGATAAGACGGAGTGCAAACGCTTCCTCTCGTTGCGTGATGGCAGCATTGAAGAGCGTGAGAAGACGCTGCGGGCACTTCGAGCATGGTGCAATGCTGCACCGCTGTACGATCGACAGCGTGGTCATTTGCATCACTTCGTATCTGCGGACACAGCACCTGCAGATGAGGTGCTTGTGGCAGGGCGCATTGCTGATCCACTTGCGGCAAAGCCTGCCACAGATGTTGAGCTTGATGCCATTGCTGCCGACGCAGCAGCCGTGGCGGGAGCCGCTGATGCCGATGATGCCAACGATGCCGATGATGCCATGCCGAGGGCTCGTGGGAGAGGTGGTGCGCGTGGCCGTGGTGGTAGCCGTGCTGCTGCTAAGTCTGCCAAGTCTAAGCCCAAGCCAAAGCCGAAAGCCAAATCTGGTCAAAGGGCTCGGAGTAGTAGACCGTCAGCTGCGCCTGCCAGCAGTCATGCGACATCGAGGCCAGCCCTTTCTTGTGCAGTTGCATTGTTCTAAGTTCGTGTGTGATGTACGTATTGTAAGATAAGGTCGTAGTCTTGCTTCGCAAGTCAGCAGTCAATATGTCATGTCAGAGTTGCTCTGCAACACCGGAAGTATTGAGCGGAAATAACCCCAAGCCTAAGTCAAGCCCAGCCTTAAATGCAAGCCCAAGCCCAGCCTTAAATACGAAGCACCCCTCTCTCAACAGGCCACATGATCCCGGACCTGACGAAGCAGCATCCGATCCCGAGTCGGAAAGTGGCAGTGCAGGACCTGTACATTCAATTGCCGGACCCTAATCCTTTTCCTGGTCCTGTCACTCTAGACCCTGCCCCAGGACACACTTCCGGCTCAAGCTCGACTTCAAGCTCTTCATCCAGCAGCAGCAGCAGCGACTAGAGAAGGCGGGCGGGTTTTCCTGTGGCCCACGGTTTTGTGGTTTGTGAAAGTGGAAAGCACCTTGTCTTCCGAGGTGCCCGGTGCATTGTCAACTACCCTTGAAAAGCCGAAGGACAGACTTGTGCGCAGCCGTGGTCATACCCATAATCTGCATCAGGTCTGCAAGCTTTGTAGCCTCTGGTCGATGGAGCAAAGTAGGCAAGGACAGTCACCGTAACGTTGGGAAATCGGAAAAGGATTGGCTCTGCCAGTTGGGCGCAAGGCCAGCGGGGTCCTTGTCCTTGTCTTGATGTCTGAGCTG